AGCCACCTACCACAGGTAACGGTAGCCACCTGCCACAGGTAACGGTAGCCACCTGCCACAGGTAACGGTAGCCACCTGCCACAGGTAACGGTAGCCACCTGCCACAGGTAACGGTAGCCACCTGCCACAGGTAACGGTAGCCACCTGCCACAGGTAACGGTAGCCACCTGCCACAGGTAACGGTAGCCAGCTGCCACAGGTAACGGTAGCCAGCTGCCACAGGTAACGGTATAGCCACCTGCCACAGGTAACGGTATAGCCACCTGCCACAGGTAACGGTATAGCCACCTGCCACAGGTAACGGTATAGCCACCTGCCACAGGTAACGGTAGCCAGCTGCCACAGGTAACGGTAGCCACCTGCCACAGGTAACGCTAGCCACCTGCCACAGGTAACGGTAGCCACCTGCCACAGGTAACGGTAACCCGACCTGATCCTGGCAACCACTGTATCGCACAGTCTGGTAGACGATTTTGAACAAATTATAAACTCTACGGGGTCTCGGCTACACATTTGACATCCACCAACCACACGAAGGGGGGTTGGGGCCGACCCCCCTTCCATTCTATATCACCCCCAATCCTACAAGGTTTAATTCAGCTAACCCGAAGCGATTGGGCTCCAAGTTACGAAACGTAGGATGAAGGAATTGTATTTCGAACCAAACCAGTCATTGCTAAAGGCAGAACCCAGGAGCTGAAACCCTATAATTGGGAAGCCAGAGGATATTTGGCAGTATCCGGCCAAGGAGCCGGCTGCTGGCCGGATACTGACACGCTTGACCGGCTATTTATACAGCCCAATCACTGTGACATCTGTACTCGGAAGCTATTCTCATTTTGTCCAATTACTCTTCCCTATTTGGCCCAATTACAAGCGGCTCCATCGTTTCTCAGACCTGTGTTTAATCATGGGGGTTACCCAATTATAGGAGCTCCCTTTCCCATTTTCTTCCCCCTCCCTTCCTTTCCTCGTTCTGTTGTCCCTCTCCTTTCCCTCCACTTGTCCCTACCCATCCCACACACCCTCCCATCATTGTGATAAGTCCACGGAGGCTTGGAGCCCCCGAGTAAACTTTGGTAGTGTCTGTCAGGTTCACGTGACTCCTTACACCTTGATGAACCCCCCCCCTGCCACGACGACTCTCAGGACGACACCCAGCACGACCCCCCAGCACGACCCCCCAGAACGACCCCCAGCACGACCCCCAGCACGAACCCCCAGCACGACTCCCAGCACGACCCCCCCAGCACGAAACCCAGCACGACCCCAGCATGACCCCCAGCACGACCCCCAGCACGACCCCCAGCACGATCCCCAGCACGACCCCCAGCACGACCCTCAGGATGACTCCAGCACGACCCCCTGCCACGACCCCAGCACGACCCCCAGCACGACCCCCAGCATGACCCCCAGCACGACCCCCAGCACGAAACCCGAGCACGACCCCCCAGCACGACCCCCAGCACGACCCCCAGCACGACCCCCAGCACGAACCCCCAGCACGAACCCCCAGCACGACCCCCAGCACGACCCCAGCACGAACCCCCCAGCACGACCCCCAGCACGACCCCCCAGCACGACCCCCAGCACGAACCCCCAGCACGACCCCCAGCACGACCCCCAGCACGACCCCCAGCACGACCCCCAGCACGACCCCCAGCACGACCCCCCAGCACGACCCCCAGCACGACCCCCAGCACGACCCCCAGGACGACCCCCCAGCACGACCCCCAGCACGACCCCCAGCACGACCCCCCCAGCACGACCCCCAGCACGACCCCCCAGCACGACCCCCCCAGCACGACCCCCAGCACGAACCCAAGCCCGTGCCAAACCTGTGTGCATCAATTAGATACAAACCCCCGCCCCCGCCCCCCCCCCTACCACCATCAATTAGCAACCTCGTGTGACCCTCAAACTTGAGGGGTCGTCTCTCACCCCTCACCCCTCACCCCTCACTCTAATGGACACAACAAACATTCCAATTGGCTACTCCCCAGGATGAAACATTGGCTTACACCCCCCCTCCCCCCTCCCCCCCCCCCTCCCTCCCCAGAGAGAGAGGGGGGGGGTTCTCCAAGCGGGTGTGGAGGGTTTGGAGGGCGATTGAGTATTCTCATATGGTTTCAAGACGACCTTGAGATCCGTCACAAGAGGTCTTCAGAGGTACAAGAGCTGTCCTCTTGAGGGGCGCCAGTCCGCCAGAGGCTCTATAGAGGATAGAGGAGGCTCGACAGGGCGCTCTATTGCAGGTTTACACCTGCGGGTACTACGTCTAGGGGTAGGTTTATGGGGAGTTTACAATGACCTTCCAGGAGGTCATAGGATCAGGGTATTCCTGTGTTTGGTACTTTTGGAGGGTTACTGGTGGACATGTGTGTCAGGTCTGGTGGGTTACTGGTGGACACACCTGTCAGGTCTGGTGGGTTACTGGTGGACACACCTGTCAGGTCTGGTGGGTTACTGGTGGACACACCTGCCAGGTCTGGTGGGTTACTGGTGGACACATGTGTCAGGTCTGGTGGGTTACTGGTGGATACACCTGTCAGGTCTGGTGGGTTACTGGTGGACACATGTGTCAGGTCTGGAGGGTTACTGGACACACACCTGTCAGGTCTGGTGGGTTACTGGTGGACACACCTGTCAGGTCTGGTGGGTTACTGGTGGACACACCTGTCAGGTCTGGTGGGTTACTGGGGGACACACCTGTCAGGTCTGGTGGGTTACTGGTGGACACACCTGTCAGGTCTGGTGGGTTACTGGTGGACACACCTGCCAGGTCTGGTGGGTTACTGGTGGACACATGTGTCAGGTCTGGTGGGTTACTGGGGGACACACCTGTCAGGTTTGGAGGGTTACTGGGGGACACACCTGTCAGGTCTGGTGGGTCACTGGTGGACACACCTGTCAGGTCTGGTGGGTTACTGGTGGACACACCTGTCAGGTCTGGTGGGTTACTGGTGGACACATGTGTCAGGTCAGGTGGGTTACTGGTGGACACATGTGTCAGGTCTGGTGGGTTACTGGTGGACACACCTGTCAGGTTTGGAGGGTTACTGGTGGACACATGTGTCAGGTCTGGAGGGTTACTGGTGGACACATGTGTCAGGTCTGGTGGGTTACTGGTGGACACATGTGTCAGGTCTGGTGGGTTACTGGTGGACACATGTGTCAGGTCTGGTGGGTTACTGGTGGACACATGTGTCAGGTCTGGTGGGTTACTGGTGGACACATGTGTCAGGTCTGGTGGGTTACTGGTGGACACATGTGTCAGGTCTGGTGGGTTACTGGGGGACACATGTGTCAGGTCTGGTGGGTTACTGGTGGCCACACCTGTCAGGTTTGGAGGGTTACTGGTGGACACATGTGTCAGGTCTGGAGGGTTACTGGTGGACACATGTGTCAGGTCTGGAGGGTTACTGGTGGACACATGTGTCAGGTCTGGTGGGTTACTGGACACATGTCAGGTCTGGTGGGTTACTGGGGGACACACCTGTCAGGTCTGGAGGGTTACTGGGGACACACCTGTCAGGTCTGGAGGGTTACTGGTGGACACACCTGTCAGGTCTGGAGGGTTACTGGACACATCTGTCAGGTTTGGAGGGTTACTGGGACACGTGTGTCAGGTCTGGAGGGTTACTGGACACACACCTGTCAGGTCTGGTGGGTTACTGGGGGACACACCTGTCAGGTCTGGTGGGTTACTGGTGGACACACCTGTCAGCCCTGGAGGGTTACTGGGGCCACACCTGTCAGCCCTGGAGGGTTACTGGGACACACCTGTCAGGTCTGGTGGGTTACTGGTGGCCACACCTGTCAGGTCTGGTGGGTTACTGGTGGACACACCTGTCAGGTCTGGTGGGTTACTGGTGAACACACCTGTCAGGTCTGGTGGGTTACTGGTGGACACATGTGTCAGGTCTGGTGGGTTACTGGGGACATACCTGTCAGGTCTGGTGGGTTACTGGTGGACACACCTGTCAGATCTGGAGGATTACTGGGAGACACACCTGTCAGGTTTGGAGGGTTACTGGCGACACGGTTGTGTAAACCTGTGGCTGAGATAGTTTACCTTAAACCATTCAGCAGTTGGAGGCAGTTGAGTCGTTTACCTGAAAATACCAAAAATCTACGTTAGGAAAGTATTTTGGGTAGTTAAGCTCTCAT